TAAGAACAATAATTAGTAGGTTAATATTGTTAGATGTTAATAATTAAGAATTTGATACTCAGAGCTGATGAACAGCTCACCGATCTCAATAAAACGCACAGTTATTGAATCGCTTGATGGAGTTCTTAATCCATGAGATTGGGTTCAATCTTCCCACCCTCAAAAATTACCCTAAATAAAAAAAAGAAAAAAAAAAAAAGAAACAAGATCATCAAGCCACGGCTACGAAGATAAGATTTAAAATCCATTGTCAACAGTGAACAATCCCACCCCCAAAAGGACAAGATTGCCGAGAAATTTCCCGAATCCCAGCTATTGACCTTCTTTGACAAATGTCTTTCTCCTCCAAAGTTTTGCTGACCCATACCCAGCTAGTATTCCATTGCCTATTTTCTAAAAAAAAAAAGGCCCAGCCAGTATTTGTATTCTCTTCCCTCCTTCTTTACGAAACTTCATATCTCCTACCTTTCTTTATTAGCTTCCAAAATTAAATCCGTCGTCTACTTCTTTTCTTATATATATTTGAGCTAATTTTTACATGCTTTAAGGCTAATTACTCTTTAAATTCCTACCTTTCTTTATTAGCTTCCAAAACTAAACCGTGGTCTACTGCTTTTCTTATATATATATTTATAGTGTAAGCGTTTATCAGTCCATTTTTATATATTTTAAAATTAATTAATCTTTAAATAATTTTATAGATGTACTTTTATATTAATTAATTTAACATTTTTTAAAGATTTTAAAATTTAAAATTTAAATTTAACATATAAGACTAAACTTGATTATTGATAAATCTAACCCTTAAGATTTCTTTATCTACCTATAATGGTTTGACTTCCTGTTTCCACTTCATCATTTTTATCAATAAACATTTTTAAATAAAAAAATCCAAGTGTTTTAAAGAAGATTCTACTTGACCAAACTTTTGCTCTAATTAACATTGAAAAAAAAAATTTTAGGTGCTAAGATAAACCACCACTAAGTCAGAATTTAAGTTGTTGTGCAAATTAAACAACCCAAACCATATTCACATTTATGAATTTTTTAGATTAATTCATATTTAAAGTATGGGTTATATCATAGATTAAATGTACAATAAATATATATTTTTCAATTAGTTTATATAAAAATTTATAAACGTTAATATATATTTTAATATTATTGATATATAAATGACATTAATTAATTAATTAACTTAAATTTATATTTTTAATAAAAATTAATTATAAAAAATATATAATAATATATATATTTAAAATACAAGATAAAAAAACGCTTAAAGTAGGGTTAGTTGCCTTGTTTGGTGTCTGCCAATCAACCCCTTTCGAGGAATTAGTGGCCCATTGCCTTTCCTAAAAAATTCTTTTGACCTTAAAAGGGTGCTTCTGTTCTTAACTTGTAGAGCAAGATTAGTCATTTGGTCCAGAAGAACCTTTACTCCTTTATTTATTTATTTATTTAATGGATCTAGAAACTTTTTTTTTTTTTTTTAAATCAATAGCAAATAAAACAAATAATCAAAGACTGAATGAGAATTACTAAATACACTCTTTTTCCACATTCTTCTTTCAATATTTATTAGGTGACTCATTCACTTATCAAAAATTTCTATTATTAATTTACATTATGAAATTAAATATAAATGATTTAACTTGCCATGTAATTAATAAGGAAGAGGAAGAAAATCAGAACATGTTAATATTCACTACAAGAAAATAAATATTTTGTGATAAAAAATTGGTTATCAAAACCCTTTTGTTTTGTTTTTTTGTTTTTTTTTTTTGTGAAAAATTAAATTTGTATCTAAAATTTAGATTTTTGTGATCAATTTTACCATAACAAAATGTTCACTTTTTTAGTGATTAAAAATATCAGATTGTTTAATCAAAATAACATTATGAATAAAATATAATGCAATTAGAATAATATGATGAGAGATATAATGTAAAATTTATTTAAGTCATATTAAAATTATACATTTTATTATTTTTAATGTGAAAATATCTTATTTTTCACTTTTCTAACTAATAAAACTAAGCATTGAAAGGAGATCGAATAAAAAGAAAAGTCTAGTTAATATTCTTGATCGAATCTAACTATTTGTTTTCTGAAAACACGTTTTCTTATTATAAAGCAACCCTATTTTTCTATAAAAAATAAAAAGAAGGAAAAAGAAAAAAGAAAAAAAGAAACACATCCATATCACATCCTAAAGAAGATATTCCATATTTTCACTACGTTAAGCAAATCTAATTTTTTGATCTCATTTTACATTAGCATCTTCTAGATTTACATGCCACATGGAGCCCATTTAACTTAATTAGAATTTTCATAGAAGTGTTTTACTGAAATTATATAAAAGATGTATGAATCTAATTATATATAAGTTATATATATTATATTTATATAAAATTTTAATTATTTTTTTTATTTTTAATAGGTAAGATTTATTATAATTTTTTAAATAAATATCATGAAAAGTGAATAAATTTCATTCATTAAAAATAGAAAGATAAAAGGTTAAGATTTTATATAAGTTTGATGTATAAAACTTATATATAAATAAATATCTATTTTATTTATTTATTATTATTATATTTATTAAAATAATTATCTTTTTTATAAAAAAAAAAGGAGATAAATCTCAATTATTAAATGTAAAGAGTTAAATGATTAAAATTTTGTATAATTGTAACATATAAAACTATGCATTTAAGTAATATGTTAAATTTATGTATGAATATTATGGGTAAAATTCATATGTAAATAAATTCTCATTCTATATAAATTCATTATAAATAAAATTTGTCAAATTTAAAAATTGTATAATAAAAGCGCATTTCTAGGTGATACAAATTTCTAATTCTAGCTAACAACTTTCCAGATACCATTTTTAAATTGGCTTCTATTTTCAGCAGTAGAAAATGCTATTCCAAAAATATAGATAAAATTAATTTCTTTAAATATTAATACAAAAATTTAAACTTAATTTTTCTTCTTTTATAAATAAACCTAAAACTTAACCTATAAAACGTATTATTCTAATTCATATGTGAAAACCACGCTCGGTTTTTTTTCTTTTTCTTTTTCTTTAAACCGACGCTCGTTTACTTTCTAAAGTAACAAAATATTTTCCAATTTTTGACATCCAGATGTGAACGTTGTTTCAATTGCTCTGCCCACATGGTTTCACCCAGACGACATCGTATCATATCATACCAGGATGTCAGAAAGCACATCCAACGGTACAAAATAGCTCCCTTATTTAATCCTACGGTCATGGCC